GGAGAAAGCAGGGACACTGCGTTTCTCAACACAATAGCAGAAATTCTCGTCTTAAAGACCATGTTCAGCCAACGACAAAGGAGGCCAACGACAAAGGGGGATGTTGGGGGTGGGGGGAGTCAGTTACAGGAGATTACCACTAAAGCACAGTAAACAAGAGTAAGGTTATTATGCAGATTTAAGGCCTCACCTTCCACATTGATAAGCCTCTAGAAATGAGGCCATCCCCCCCTCTTCCCAAAACAGAGAGGGAGATACCTTTACAAATGGAGATTTCCCTTATAAATGTAAATGATTGTCTGGCAACTCCTCGCAGGGCTATCCAGAGAATGTGGCCAGAGAGACAGAACTTCCGATAAGATGGGCTTGTTTGTGCCTTTCCTATTGTAACCTCCATCCTACATTATCTTTACAGCCATCATGATAGATCTGTTCCAGGAAGGAGCCACCATGTCAAATTCTTTAGGCAGTTAGTGGGGGAGGTCAAATGTCCCTAGAGAAAACAACCAAGGTAAAGAGATAGATTTCAGGGTGGCCAAATCTTGGTCTCCCACATTACCAACTATCATACCTCCCATCTATTCTTCAAGGGCCCATTCATCTTTCCAAAAAATCATTTACTCTCTTCTTAATAGTCTCCATTGCCCCTGCCCTTTCCCTATTAAGCTGGTATTTAAGCCTGAATTGTAAGCCACCTTGAGGAATTACTCATTTTCCCTTGGGTGTCTCCCATGTATATATGAGGTATCCATGTTAATAAACTTATGGCTGTTTTCTCCTGTTAATCTTTCTTTATTACAGGGGTCTCAGCCAAGAACTCAGAAAGGTAGAGGGAAAATGACTTTTCCTCTGCTACAGTTTCTGGCTACTCAGCTAGGACCTCTGAGACACCTCACTTGCTTGAAGCCTGTGGCTGGGGTCCTGGGAAAACTGGCAGAAGCCTTGGTAAGACGTGGTAAAGGGTAGGAATGATATTTCCTCCCCTACACTCATTTACAAGTTCTTTATCACCATCAGTTTCTCTTCCAATTGAGACAGTAAATGCCGAGGACAGCCTGGTTTCTGTTGGGTGGAGGGATGAGGGTGTGCTGGGCTGGCCTAGTGGCAAAAGCCATGGCAGAGAGGCCACGAGGATAATGGGAACAGCCTGGTAGTGATGGGCACTGACTTACAAGGCCGGCGAGGACTGGAGACTTGGTTTGAGTAAAGCTTTGTGGGAGAGACACAGCAAAGGGAAGTAAGGATATGATTAGGCCTTGATTGGCAGGCTGAGATATTCCCACTTTTGCTAAGGGCTGTGGGGAGCTTTGGGGGTAACCACAGCAAACCTTTATGCAGCACGGGGTATGTGCTAGGCAGCATTCTAAGTCCTCTATGCACGTGAACTCATGTAACCCAATGGTCGCAGAAGGAGGTACTATCATTATCCTCGTTTTACAGGTGAGGAAACCGAAGCCAGGAGAGGTTACGTAACCTGCTCAAGGGCACACAGCTCATACGCGGCAGAGGCAGGATTTTAATTTAGCATCTAGGTTTCATGATCTATGCCACGCATTCTCAATGAGGGTGACATTGCCTCCAAGAGGGTGAAAATTGGTTCTCGTGCTTCACGTCTAAAGCGTAGATATACGCACAGGACATAGACAGATAGATGGCATATCTATGCTGTTAAAATTTCACAAGAGGCGATTAAGAATATAACGTCTAAAAAGACTTATTTGGGGATGATAACGAAAAACAGGTTGAGAAACCTCTGTCTATGCTCTTGATCAGATGGCTGGGCTGTGACTCATGTTTAGAGCCTGGGGTTAGGGAGTAACAGGACGAAAGCGATATCGTCAGAAGAATGAACCAGTGGTTGAATGGATGTGGGGAAGGTTGCTGCGTAAAGGGAGGAGCCAATTAGATCAAGTGCTTCTCTGGGCCAGGACCGTGCTAGGTCCACTGCCCACAATATCCCTTTTTGATCTTCACCTTCAAGTTAGGTACTATTCTCTCCATTTTCAGATAATGAAATGAGGAGAAAAGAGCAACGGGTCCTAAGCCACATTGGAAAAGGATTAAATGAGGATTCGTGCTTCCTGATTCCGAACACAGGCGGGCAGGGCAGTGAGAAGGTGTCGAGGCAGTGGGGAGCAGAATTGAGAGGAGGGATTCTGCTAAAGGAGAAAGCACAGAATTGGTAAAAGATTGGGCATATTGAGGAACAAGGGATACTCCAAAGACTGTTTTGCCATCCATAAGTCAACAGCAACATGCTAGGAGATTTCAGACAGAAAGAAGTTTCTCTTTCCTCTTCTTCCCCTGAGAAGAAAAGATCGGACGTAGAAAATTGGAAAGTAGTAAATCTAGACAAAATAAATGCCATTTACTATTTCTCTCTGTCCTAATGTTTACCTTTTTTTTGGCCAATTTTTCTTTTGTTTTTGGTTAGGAAGAGTGGCCCTGAGCTAACATCTGTTGCCAATCTTCCTCTTTTTGCTTGAGGAAGATTGGCCCTAAGCTAACATCTGTACCCATCTTCCTCTACTTTTTGTATATGGGATGCCACCACAGCATGGCTTGATGAGTGGGGTGTAGGTCTGCACCCGGGATCTGAACCCACAATCTCTGGGCCTCTGGGCGGCCGAAGTGGAGCAGGTGAACTTAACCACTACACCACTGGGCTGGCCCCATAATGTTTCCATTTTAACATCATTTGTTGCAATTTCTTAGGTTTGTTTTGTAGATTCTGCTCAACAGGGATAAAAAGCGTTTCCTTTGGTACAAAGGTAATAGGCCCTGGCAAAGAACTGCAGGAGTATTTTGGATAAAACATTTTTAGGCCTCATTGAACTATTTTCTTTACAATGTTAAAAAAATCTCTTCCCCTCCCCTCAAACATAGTATGTGTTCCCAATAACATGGAACTTACTAATGGAGAATAGTGGAAATTAAATGAATTAACTACAACCTTGAATTATAAAAATATTTCCATTTTAGCCCTTTGAACTACATAAGTAATTTCAATTAATTCTTAGAATACCTTTATATTGCTTTCTGTTGTTCTGGAGGGTCTGCTTTCAGAAAAAAATAAAATAATAGTAGTCTTTCACAAACAGCATCCTTTAAGCAGCCTTTTCTATTGTCGCTGTATGGATGATATAATGCTCAATACCCAAGGGCAATAAAATATCAGAACTCCTGGGTCCCTACCATCGATCAGATA